TTTTCCAAACTCAATAGCATTAATTGAACAGGTTTAAGTTCACATTTTGTTTATTAGATGTTCTGAGATGATGTCATTAGTGGTGCCAGGAGCCTAAACTGGTGAAGCAGCAGGACAGGGTCAGCACCTGAAGATGGTGGCTTGAGCAGGCGTGAGTGAAGACGCTGCACCAAACTTCTTCAAGAGGAACTTACTTGGCTTCATCTTCAATTAAACTTGCCTTACAATGAGTCGCCGCAGAAAAACAGTAACTATCGCACCTCCCAAACGGAGCCCTGGCATCAGCAGCTTGTCTTCATAAAGTAGATAACGTTTAAGACCATACTGCGGAACATTCCAGGCCTCGCAATAAGATCTCCATAGAAACAAGAATGGACCCTTCACCACATTCTTAAACAACCGAGGATCACATTTTTATACAACGCTTTTCCACCTTCAGGGCTCAAAGCGCTTCACAACATTGTACACTTGGGACGAGGTGGGTTTAGTGTTTTGCTCAATGATACAACGACAGCATTCATGTGTGGATTCGAACCGCCAACCTTCGGATCAGTGGACATAAGCTCTATGAACTGAGCTACTGCCGCCCCAAGTTTACAGTTTTTAAGTGTTTTGCCCGACAACTCAGGACTGTTACACACTAGAAGTTGTGATTAAACCGACAGCTGTTTTATTTCAGTTGTTATAATGAAGTTTGAACACAGCTGATGTTTCTGGTATATTTTTCTGGTCAGGTGTGTTCACGTGTGTGTGTGTGTGTGTGTGTGTGTGTGTGTGTGTGTGTGTGTGTGTGTGTGTGTGCGCAGGCAGCCGCTCGGCCCCCAGAGAAAGCCCTCATTGTGCAGTGTGTCACAGCTCTTTCCTAATCAAGGGTCATTACAGGAGGTTAGTGCGGGTCTCCAGGGACCGCAGGGGATCACAGCCAAGATTACACCCAGCCGACCCCTCTCGTCCCTGGGCACCGAACCTGAGCCCGGGCCCTTCCTGTTACACGGAGCCAAATCACTTTTATAGACTTATGATAAAAAATAGACTACAGGACGTCAAAATGTATGCTTCACAAACAGTCAAAACTAACTTAAAGATGCATTGCATAACTTTTGTGGTGGAGGGTCTGCCACATGCTTGTAACCATGGAGATGTTGTTGTTTTGTCTGGAATGTTCCACGGTATGAGGTTAAACATATATACTGTATTTTTCAGACTATAAGTCGCTTTTTTTTTCATGGTTTGGGTGTTTCCTGCGACTTATACTCCAGTGCGACTTTTATATTAAAATGTTCACATTGACAGCCGTGAGAGGCTCTAGTCTTGTGTGTGAGTATCTGCTGCTCCTGTTCCTCCTGTACCACTGTCACTTCACTCTACTGCACATGTCTCCTGCAGAAAGAGCCTCTGTTCTGTCTGTATCATGTCAGTCGATCGCACCATTACTTCTGTACCACTGAACAATTTAAATTTAAACAAACTTATAAAGACGACTGAGAAAACTGAACACAAATGCCCCCAAAATGAAAATCATATTTTGTAGATTACAAACTGCAAGTAGAAAAATCTGCAACTGAAAACAGTAATTGAGCAGCAGAAAGAAAGTTTGGAGTGAGCGAGAGACTTCTGACACTGGGAGGATGCACCATGCAACTTTCCTGGAGTAACTGGATGAATCGACAAAGTCCGAACTTCAGTGATACTGAAACCATCCTGTCGAGATTCAGAAAGACCCGAATAATTCTAACTGGAACTGATGCTGAGTCTGACGACAGCGACACAGAAGAGGAAGCGGCGCTCTGTTTACCTCCAGAGGTCACAGAGTTGTTCAGAAGTGACACCGAGGATGAAGAATTGAATGGATTTAGTGATTTGGAGTGAGATGGAGAGTTTGGTAAACTTGTTCTGTTCTGTTGTTTATGTTATAGTTTATCTGAAGAACTGTTCATATGTGACGTTAACAGTCTGTTGTTCTCTCTTCTATTGTTATTATTAGAACTTGACTTTCAACATGAAATATCAGCTCCTGGTCTTTGATTTTATAAAAGAAATTTCCCCCCAAAAGTGCAACTTATATATGTTTTTTCGTTCTTCATTGCGCATTTTTTGGTTGGTGCGACTTATACTCCGGAGCGACTTCTAGTCCAAAAAATACAGTATAGAGGATTTATTCATTAGCGTGTTTCTATTGCTCAAAAATACATGAACTCCACCTGTGAGTAGGGTGGCCTCTCCACAGATCTGACAGACCTGTGATATTCATATGTTTAATGCTATACCATGGAACATTCTAAACAAAGCAATAGCATCTCCATGGAGACAGATGGTCTAGAAAAGTTACCCAGTGCACCTTTTAAAGAGAATATATGACAGATTTTCATGTTTTTATAATTATTACTTGGGTTGATGGGATAGTATTAAATATTTAGCATAGTTTTACTTCAGTTAAGAGAAGAAAAGTACAACAATACATGAAGTAGTCGTGACTTTTAAAACACTTATGTCATCAACACCGAAAATTCCGCCTAAAATACAGGAACAATTTACACGCAAGGAAGGCATTTTTCTGACAGTTTGAACCTTCATTTAACAAAATAAAGGTGTTTTCATAATATCGTGTAGTTTTTTGTGTGTAAATGTTGGCTGTTGCTAGGTAAAAGTCAAGGAATTACATCATATCTGCTGTCCGTGTCCAACCAGGAAGTAAAATTATAAACTTCAGCGAAATGAAAAAGAAAGTAGGCTAAAGTTTTTGTAAAATATGTAATTATCCAAACTATGATTTAGTGAAATGGGCAGTCCAAGCTGTCACTTTAAATGAAACATAATTATAATGATAAAAAACAACGCTGTATTTTCAGTATATCAACTGAAACCTGAAAATGTAATTCTTCTAAATGGTCTTAAATTTTCAGATTGCGTTAGATCTTTCGAGGATTTTCTGGAAGCAAAAAAGGGAGTTGGAATTTACAGGAAAACGAAGTCGAAGGTATGCGCCCCGGGGCGGAGGGGGTAATTTAGGAGGAGTGGAGGGGGTAATTGAGGTGGGGGTGAGGGGCCGATTCCACCTGAAAGAGCCCTGGTCCAGAGCAGGAAACAAATTTAGACTCGCGCTGCTTCATGGACACGAAAAATCCATAGATACACAATTGGACGCCAAGAGTGAGTTTGCCGGGCGATGTCGCGGTTATATTTTCCACGTGTTTGTCGGTCCTCGTGGTTTCACAGCTCCGTCACGAGTTCGTCACAGCGTTGTCCGTTCAGACTTCCTCGGAAACTCGTCCCCAAAACACCGGTTTGAGTGAACAGCGTCCGTTTTGGGGTACAGACTGTTGGGTTCGGTTTTGTTCGTGATCTCTGCTTTGCGCACAGTCGTGGATTTAAGCATTATCGCGCGAGGGGAAACACGCAGCGCCAGTCCGCAGATCAGACTCACAGAGATTGAAATCGGCAGGGAGAGAGCACTCACTATTATTTATTCAGTTTTTTCAAGTTTTGAGAAACAAACAAATAAATACAAAACCTGGGGCATTGTTCCAGTGTGGTAAGAATATTGAAGTCAAGTCTCTTTTTCTTTATATTTTAACCATTTTGTCCAGCGTCTAATGAAGAAATGTCCTTTGAGACGTAGAAAGAAAGTCAGTCGTTTCATGGAATATATTTCTTCAATAATGTCGAGCCGCTGATTTACTGGCGGTGGGTCTTTTTTAAGCCAGTTTCTTGTAATTGCTTTTTTTGATGCCAAAGTCAGAATCTTTAAAATGTACCTGTCTGCTTTTTCGATCACCTCTCCAGGCAGAAGGTCTAACAAAAATATCAACGGGTCCTTGGGGACAACATAAGTCAAGATCGTATCTGTTTTTCCAAATACATTGTTCCTAGAATTATTTTAATTTTGTACATGTCCAAAAAATGATTGATGAGAATGATTGACGCTTGAGTGGCCAGACTGTCTCCAACAATGACAGTTAAACTCTTGTACTCTGGCAGTAATTTGAGGAATAATAAAGAATAGTATAATACACTTCCACCCAAATTCCCTGATTTGTCACAGTTTGATACAAGAAATATCTAAGGTGTCCCTATTTTTGACAAATTTGATATGTGCCAACAGTGAAGCGAGGCATACATTGTCATTCCCAGTGTTGGGAAGATGACTTTTAAAATGTATTCCCCTACAGATTACAGATTACATACCCCACAATGTAGTTTATAACGTAATCCATTAAATTACTTAAAGTGAGGAACGTAATCTGAATACTTTGGATTACTTGATATTGTCATGTTTTTTAAAACTACATCCTGCAAATTCTTGTTTGTTTTCTTTAAATTGTCTGTTGAGCCCAAGTCTCCATGAACAGACTTTTGTTTTACTGTAGAGAAGCAAAGACGAGGATTTTATCGTAAGATGTTTTGTTTTATCTGCTAAAAGAAAATAAAAAGCCCAGTCTTTACTTAAACATATTTAAAATTATTATTGAGAGAGAAATGTTTTTCATATGAGATCACTGCTGCCTGAAATGATGTCCACTACTGTTAGTGTCATATTGTTTAGTCCTGGTTTTAGTCCTGGTTTTAGTCCTGGTTTAGTCCTGGTTTTAGTCCTGGTTTTAGTCCTGGTTTTAGTCCTGGTTTTAGTTCTGGTTTAGTCCTGGTTTTAGTCCTGGTTTTAGTTCTGGTTTTGCCCAAAATGTGAAAACAGGAAAATACCACCCTGTAATCCATTTATTTCAACAAAGTAACTGTAATTCCAATTCATAATTTGTACTCTGATTACGTAACTGTGGTAATTGTAATCTGTTACTCCCCAACACTGGTCATTTGTTTAAGTAAAATACAGAAAAGCTGCTTAAAAATGACCAAAACACAAAGAAAATCTGACTATACTGACTCACAATTTCCTCGTCTCACAATTTCATTATTACCAACGACTACGAACCAGGGAAGTCGCAGTTTTTGATTTTGAATATCTACCCTTCACACACATATTCCCACTGGTAGCCGGCTCTTACCTTCCGGCGTTTGCGGTGAATGTCTCCGATGCTGTTGGCGAGGGAGTTGGGCCCCAGCAGGGTGGAGGTGCTCTGGGGCCAGTCCACGGTGACCAGCGTGTGCTCGCCCATCAGAACCTTGCGGATGTTCTCGGCGCCTGTCACTCGGATGAGAGGGCGCCCGAGAAGGTGAGTCTTAAACACGTTACCGTACTTCTGCCTCCGTGACGCGTGGAAACTCGAACCCTGAACGAAAAACACAAAATAGATCAGCATTTAAAAAGGTTCACAATGGAGGTTCTTCCAATGGAGAGTTTGGATTCTTTTTCAGCGTATTTTTTTTCTTTATTTTCACTACTTTTTGCATTTTATTACACACAGAAGACATCAAATATATGAAGTAGCCACTCTTTGCTCTGCTGAAAACATTTAGTATAGTTATATAATGTTTTACTACTACTACTTTATCTTGCTTCATATGTTCTGGAAGGAGACTGGAAGAATACTTTGAAAACGTATTTAGTGCCATAAAACTGACTGAATGCCCAAATGAAAATATCATATACTGATACCTGGGCCAATCAGAGTACTGTGTTCTGAATACTTGCAAAAAAAAACATGACACATCATTACAAACAACTTTATTTTAGTTGTTATGTCCTCATTTACATCTAACTAGAGCTGAAAATTTAATACAGGTACTCAAAATTAGTATTCATTATCTGTATTTTTGGTACATGTTGTGGTACAGTTACTTCCCAACGCTGCATATATTTGACGTCAAAAGTAGTAAACAATACATGGAAAAAGGGGTGTCCAGGTCATTTCGGAAAACTCGTTCATTGCAGGTATGGTAATGTCAAAGCGCCGTGCCTCTGTCTGTTGTGTTATTTCAAAAGTTGCGAAATAAAAATAAAAATAAAAACTCGAATTACAAAAAAAGAAAAAATGAAATTCCTTATTTATCAAAAACTTTAAAAAAAAAACTAGCTGTACAGAAATAATCACAGGTCTGATAAAAAATCAGACTAAAACAAAACATCCAGAATCTGATTGATTTATTAATTAAGATTTGATTACTTTTTTTTTTTGTCTTTGTACAAGATACAACAAAACTTAGAAACTTCGCAAAACTGCAGCAGTAAAAATGAATAAATAAAAACACACTCCCACATCTTTACCATTACAAACACATGAATGAAAACTGCATTGAGGGGCGACAGTAGCTCAGTCGGTAGAGAATTCGTCTACTGATCTGAGGGTTGGCAGTTTGAATCCCACTCTGGACGTAAACACCTTTGGTAGACCAGTCCAATGAACTCTACCTCATGTCAGTGGTACGTGCCCTTAGCATGTAGTTTCAAATCAGATCCGCTGACTCACAGGTCAGCAGTGCGAATGCTGCCGTTGTGTCCTTGGCAAGACACTTAACCCTCTTCGCCCCCGGTGTCCGCGTGCATGTGTGTGTGAATGGGTGAGTGTAAAGCGCTTGGAGTGCCTCGAAGGTGGAAAAGCGTTGTCGAGTTTGAGTCCCTTCAGGCCTTTTATTTATTCTTCACTAGTGAGAACATTTATAGAGTTTCATTGATTTAAAGAGGGGACAGAAGATAACAGAAGATTTCAAATACCGTATTTTCCGCACTATAGGGCACGCTTAAAACAACTGCGCGCCTTATAATCCAGAGCGCCTTATTCGTGTGTCTTAGTACGACTTTAGTAAACTACAAAGCCGCACCACTTGCAGCATTACGGCTCCCGTAGTCAGGAGCATCAGGAGGATCAATGCCCACTTTAAACTCAAGGCTGTTATAAAGTGAAAGTGTGAGCTGTGTGGGAGCAGTGGATGAGAGAAGGAGAACACACATTCACCAAGACAGAGAGACAGCGCCGAGCCACTTACACCACGATCTGCCAATGGATCGTGGACGCCTGGACTAAGGATCAGTATCAACTGTGGTCCGAGCTTTCACCAAGACCAGAATCATCACTGAACTGCCAGGGAACAGTAACCACACTGACTCGGATAATGACGAGAGGGATGTGGACGTGTGGACGCCGTAATCACCCAACTGTTTGAACTATTATGAATTATTGTGAATACACGAACAATCATCATCTCAGACAGTATTTTTTTTAAGCGTTACAACTGAACAAAGTTGAGAGTTATTGTGAACACGTTAAATAAAGTTTGACTGACTTATCTAACTGTTGTGTTTTGTTTAATGCACCTTATAGTCTGGTGCGGTTTATATGTGAAAAAAGTTTGAAAATAGACCATTCAGTGACAGTGCACCTTATAATCCAGAGCGTCCAATAGTGCAGAACATACAGTATATGAGTAAAAAGCTGCAAAAACTATTTAAGAACAGTTCGAAAGTTGGGTAGAGTAAAGAAATGACAGAACAAGTTGTGAAGTTGTAAATTAAAATACTACTTTTGTAAACTAGCAACAAATATGTGACTTATCGCTCAGCTGGTGATGTTTATGTCGATTATCATGGGATTCGAAGTGGCAACCTTCAGATCAGTGGACACTCCATATCTGTTAGTTACAAGAAAGTATTCTAGCCCTGTTTCTGACCTTGAAGGGCCCATATTACTTTCTACTACTTTCTGGTCTATGTTCTAATGTAGTATCCTCATCACAAACAGACCTGGAGGTGTGTTTTGTTTCATTCACACATGGTTAACACACAGACCTGCAGATTTAGGCTCAGTTCTTCTCTCAAACCGAAAACACTCTGTTACACTTTCATCTGGATAATTTCAGCCCTGGAATTGTCCATTTCTTCTAAACAGCTTGAAAACATATACTTCATAACATCACAAGGTGGAAGAGAGCATTTTGAGCTTTGGGGATGTAGACAGACTAATCATAAAGGATTTCTCAGACATGTGTGAATGAAACAAAACACAACTCCAGGGCTGTTTTTGAGAAGGTAACAACATTATAACATGGCTTAAATCTCACAAGAGTCAATTTTGCGTACCTTTAAAAACCTTAGCTGTTTCTACCTCACGTTTTATGTTACTGGAAAGTGCCATTAGCCTGAAGTTTCAAAGTCCTGCTAAAAGTTCATATAAGCATTTTTCTCTCCAGTTTGGAGCAGGCTCGCACAGTTTTTTTTTAACGTTTCACTCCTGCACATGTTTAAGAACAGAATACACAGCGGGTTAATTCAATGAAACCCGATTTCAAATGCCTCCAGGACGAGATCGGAGCGGCGCTTAAGAGCAGGGGTCAAAGGTTATCCAAACATTTAAACTTCAGTACAGTAAATGAGATTTCTGGTCCCACAAGGCTCAAATAATGGAATCAAAACTGCTAAATGTGCACAGAACATTCTCGGCTGCATTTCACTCAAGCGCAGTTTAACCCTGTCGCCGCGAGAGATAAAACTCCACACGTCAGTTTTAATTTAACTCAAACTTATAATTCTTGTTTAAAATGTTTGTTTAAAGAGGGAGAATTACGCAAAATCGATTTTTTTTGGAGCTTTCTACCATGTTTTAACCTTGTTCCCTCATGAAAAAATATGCCTGAAGTTTTTTTATGCCATCCATGCATGTTTGAGTAATTTAGCGATCTCTCCAGGGCCCTATTCAAATCCTCCTTAGGGTTAGTTGTAAGATTTTGTACAAGGCCTGCCAACAAGCCTATGTCACCCATGCTCCCACACAACAATGCTCCATAAATTAACAAAAACATGATACAAAACTGTACACTACAACTTCACAAACCTAATGTGATGTGCTGTAGTTTCATTAGCGCACTGAAGGGGGAGTGACTTAACACGAAGAGCAAAGGGAAACTTATGTAGCATGTTCAAAGCAATAAAAAGTAACATGGTGATCTATATATGTTATGTGTTACAGTTAATACCCCATACAAGTCTTTACAAATCTAAAAACAAAGCTATAAAAAAAATTGTCTTGATTCTTTCATTTAAACAAACCATGTTCTAGTTGCTGGGCTGTTCCACCTGGTGATATCACGTGGTAATACAGGAAGTGCTCCACTGTGTTTTTAAACTCCAAACACCTTCTTCAATAGAATCATTTGGATAATTTCCACCCTGGAATTGTCAATCTCTACTGAACTAAAGGTACAGGGAGCTGTTACCTTGAGGGACAGTTCAGAATTTTGGACATAGGGCCTCATTTCCTAGTGAGCCAGAGTGTTGGAGATTTGTGGAGACACTTTTTAAAATATTCCATCCAGTCCTTGTATTTGCAGAGGTCGCTGGTGCTAGGCTAGTGCATGTCTATGGCCATAGTTAGCCTGCCACAAAAAACAGTCTTACCCACTCCACAAAACACCTGAAGCAAATGTATTATTACACCAGACTGTCCATGTAAATGTCTGTGTCGATAGAATAATGTTTGAAATAAAACTAACCTTGCGTCACATGAATTGTTGCATGTTGAGGGACTATTTTTTCATATATCAGTCCACCGCTGCCAAGCTTTCTATCAGGAAGTACAACTTGCTGCTGCTCAGACATAAATCCTTCAAATGCAACGTTGGTTTTATTTCTAAAATTATTCTATCAACACAGACATTCACATCGACAGTCTGGAGTAATAATAGATTTGCTTCGGGTGTTTTGTGGAGTGGGTAAGACTGTTTTTAGTGGCAGGATAACTATGGCCATTGACATGCGCTAGCCTAGCACCAGCGACCTCTGCAAATACAAGGACTGGATGGAATATTTTAAAAAGTCTCCACAAATCTCCAACACTCTAACTAACTAGGAAATGAAGTTCTATGTCCTAAATTCTGAACTGTCCCTTTAACTACCGCTTCATGACATCACAAAGTGGAACAGAGCATTTTGAGCTTTGGAGATGTAGACAGACTAATAATAAAAGTTACTCAAACATGTGTGAATGAAACAAAACACAACTCTAGGTCTGTTTTTGATGAGGTAACAACATTGACTGAGCTCACAAGAGTTCATTTTGCGTAATGTTTCCAGAGCAGGCTTCTTGACAAGTTCTCTTTTATTGCTTCATCTTATAAGACAAATGATAAAAACAAAACTAAAATGAGAACCAAATAAAGATTGATAACAGACTGATCATAAACTCCAGTAGTAAGTATACACAGCCCTTCAGTGGGAGCCCCCAGAGGCCAGCTGGCTGTAGCCCGTAAGCATTTAGCCTCCAGTTCGACCTTTACGCGCCGAGGGTCACAGCGAGGGACCCCATAACTGTAAATGGTCTGTTTGAGCGAAAAGGACATA